AGGAGAATTTTTCCAAGATGGCTTTTTATTACCATGAGAAGAAATATCCACACGTATCCCGGTCGCCATAGTTATTTGATTTCACCTTCTTTTTTTCAAGATAAGAGAGGTGTGGATTTATTATGAAAATTTGAATGAATGTATTCGTTAGCATTTTCTTTAACTCCTGCCTGATTGTCGTGTCGAATACGACAGACATAACAGGAATTTGTTAAGAACGCATGGATGACGAGGTGTTCAAAGTGCTGAATACTACAGCAGATTCGTCTGGAGGGCCTTTGTGTAGCATTGGTGCGAAACGAAAACAAACAATTGTTTTCATTGCTTCTAGAAAGCGTGGCTCCTCCTGACGGTGTCCTCATCAGAGAGGAGGTTATGCGTCCCTTGTTGAGCTTCTTGTGACCCTCGGCTATTTCTGGAGGCTAAGACTTACCTTTATTCCGTTGTTTCACAAGTAGCGACTTCATTTCCTTGTGTTGTAACGGTAATGTTGTAACTTTTATGAGATAATGGGTACGTGGGTGTTGTCGTGGTGACGTCTCAAAAAAGCGGTCATTATATGCCAAGTTCTCGGAGCAGCAGCTGTTTGCTGGATGGTCTATGGCGTCAATTGGAAGCATTCTTGACGACAGCGCTACTGACGTCGTCACATCTTCCTGTTGCAACGGGGTTCACTTGCCACTTAAGGCGTCGGCCACCGCCCCCTCGCGTCAAACAGCATCAGCAACATGAGAAGATGTCACCATTACCTCTGGTGGTTTTCGACACTACCCTCATTCCTGAAAGCTTGTGTTCTTGCCCACAGCTTGCTCTACTCCAGTTCTCGTTGAATGGACGGATACCTTCACTTTCACTCCCAGAAATGAGAGCTGGTCCAGCTCTTTAATGCTTTATTTTATTATTCGATATTTTGTTTTTTTTTTTTTTTTTTTTTTTTTTTTTTTTTTTTTTTTTTTTTTTTTTTTTTTTTTTTTTTTTTTTTTTTTTTTTTTTTTTTTTTTTTTTTTTTTTTTTTTTTTTTTTTTTTTTTTTTTTTGGGTTTTGTTATTTTGAAAGGCGAGGCCGGCATTTTTGAGCGATACTTTTGTTCATTCCCATCTGTAAAGTAAACTGGGCCTCTGGAAATCCTCCTACCTCATCTACTATCCACTTCTTACTTGTTTATACCATATGAGTTACCTCCTTTGCCCTATTGGCATTTCTGAATAATTTTGGCAGGAAATCTTTCATTGATTATTCATTATGACCTAGGAAGAGTATGAGTGAGCGCGAGAGCTGTCGCAGCATGTTATTCGATTCTTATGCAGAAGCTCCCCAGAAAAAGGTCACGCGATGCTAGCGTCTCAACAGCTTTTAGCGCTTGCCCTGAAATATTCTCAAATGTCATCGGTAGTTATCCCAATAACGTCCTTCATCGTCGGCTTCGGCCCACCAGACACCAAATGTGATCGAATAATCAACTTACATGTCTGCCTGTCTTCCGTTACATCAATGTGATCATAATTTACAGCTTGGCCAGAGTTGAAAGTTGAAGGCAGACTGCCGATTTTCGATTTCGCCGCCTCACAAAGTATCGGCAGCTCCCTTGGTCACGTCATCTGCCCTAAACTGGAGCTAATCGCAGTTGTCGAACTTGAATTTTCGGAAAACTTTTCCGATTCTCGAGTTTGACTGGGTTAATGCAAGTCTCGTCTCGGAGTTGGCATTTTTATCCCAAAAGTGAGAGGCTGCGGCCAAATTGCAGTGCCTTTGGCCGGGATATTCTGAATGAGGACCAGCAGTTATTTTTTGCGTATCTTTCTCATAAGTTGAGTCTTTTTTCTCAATTTCCAAAACAAGGTTTCGGGATACCTAAGAGTAATTCGATGAATAATATGCTGTTTCTCATAGTCCGAAAAACACGACGTCATCTTCAGAACATGAAAAATTGGAGTGAATCGGAGCCCTATTCCGCGTGGCCGTTGTGCACTCACGGCACCGTACTGCGCAGAAGAGAGTTCAACGCGCGGTCCAGGGTGGGTTAAGGAAATCATTCAAAGTGATACCAATTACATACCACCACCTTTGGCTTCCTTAAATATGCAAGAAAATCATACGAAATAATCGGATTCCTTGTCTTTTTTTTGTTTTCTTTTTTCGGTTTTTTCTTTGTCCCCCCCCCCAATTAGAGCTGACTAGTAGTACTGGGGATATATCGGTTTAGAAGGCTAGCTTTTTGCTTTATTTTTTCACTGTTTTTGCAGATCCTAATGAAAAATCCATTCTAAGAGTGCTAAATTATGGGCAATTCTAAACACAATTGTTCTCAAAATAATTTAATAAGAAGTAAAAGATTACTATTGTTATTATTATTATAATCCAAAAAAACACAAAAAAAAACAACCATGATAATAATTCACCCTCTCACACCATTATATATATGTAGTATTCTCGTTTATTGCCTTGCTGTCCCTTAAATATTGTCTCTACGAGACAAATTCCGACATGTCTATGGATCACGGTGCAAAAATCTAAATCGATAAGCTGGAGCGCTGCTCTTAGACTCCAGTGGAGGGTTGTATACACTGAATGTTTAGGGAGAGATGCGTGAGGTGTCCCGATAGCGTTGTGGATTAGTTTGGTGCCTGAAAGGGTACGAGCAGGTTCGAGTTTCGTAAAAAAAAATCGGACGCTTGGTATGTAATAAGGCATCCTGGTGATAGCCTCCGTGTGAATAGCGTTCTCCACCGGTTTGCTCTGAATTCCTTCGTGAACCATGAACATTATTGTCATGAGCTCTTCTTTCATGAAACAAGCAGTTTTCTGGCATTGCTAGCCATTCTAAGAATCACATTAGTGTGGCTCGAATCGCTGGTTGCCTTTGTCATCTCATGCTTGCATGTCTGATGCCTATCCATTGCCATATTGCTGGGCGACACGTGTGAGAAGAAGAAAAAAGGGGGAGGGGAGAAGCGAGGGGCGGATGATAGGTTGTCGTTTGCCACCCAAGCCGCGACAAGGCGAGATGATAGCTGAGGTTCTTCTTTCTATTAATTTCTCCTCACAAAGCAGACATACTGATTGCGCCTCGATGTTGCTCAGTCAGGCTCATTAATAGGGTTGTCGAGTTCCTGTGGATGTTGATTTTCCTTCACTACTTTTGATTTTCCAAGAACGAACAGTGTCCTCGAATGTTCGCCTCGCCAGCGCTGCTCATTGCTTCCTAGGGTAAGCTTTCCTGCGCTGTGCTGCTGCTTGATCCAACCTGTTTCTTCGGATGGTCGACCTTTGTAGCGTCCTACAAGCTCGGTAATCTCTCTTAGCACCGCGTTCCATTTTCCATCTTGCTCAGGAGAGTGCCCTTCTTTTCTTGTGAAAGGCCCTCTTTGCAGTCGTCTCTAGCTCTCTTCTTCGACTCTCACAGATTTGGTGCCCCTCGTTTGTCCTTTGTGTCTAGCTCGTGCTATGTTTAATCCCATCTTCGTCCTTCAGCGATTTCATCCAATAGAGCAGTTCCTTTTGCTGACCCTCTTGCAAACCCAGGGACAGCAAGTCACAAAACAAACATGCGGTTAGTTTACGAGCATCGCGCCGACGTGCTTTGTCTTTACTCGGCATGTTTATCATGTATCTTCATTGCTGAATCCGTCAGAAAGGCTATATTCGCTAGTTTTCGTCTTTCATATCGATTTCTCTTGGGTCTGTAGTGAAGCTGACATCTAACAGCGAGTGCTCACCGCTATATTCGTTACTGTTAAAATATTCATGAATATATCATATTTCTCGGGGGAATGTTGTTAATTGCTAGAATCGCAATTTGTTCACCTTATAAGTAATTCGATTCGGGTTGTTATAATTGGCACGAAAAAGTACGGAAGGGGCTGGAAGATTCCTGCCGTTTATAAATAAGTCTAGCCCTTAATACGAAGATTTACTGGCAATCTATTGAGTTTCACACTTGACATAAGCATAACGATCGACGTTTAATTACCAACGGGTTCGTATTAACGTACCCTCCCTTTCAAAAAACGAGAAGAGCGTCGGGTGCAGACCATACACCACAAGTGACGACGGCCTCCAAGTAAATCTGGTTAGTAGTGGTTCATAGTGATAGCTGATTTTTGGTAAATGATAGTTGTAATTAGTGACAACTGATAGAATACAACTGCAACAGGCTAATTTCATTGGCAGAAAACATTTACATTTTGTGGCCGTCGTCACTTGTGGTGTATGGTCTGCACCCGACGCTCTTCTCGTTTTTGAAGGGAGGGTATGTATAAATTCTGCGTGCCAGGCAAATGCATGGCGCATTCCAGAATTTCACCATATATTCATCTTCCTCAACCAGCATTGATAAACTTGTCGCTGTCTTATTCTGCTTGGATAACTGCTAGTAAACTTGGATGTGTTCTGCTTCGCCCTCTATTCGATCCTCGTTTTCTAAGGGAATGCGTTTTCCAAAGTAAGGAAGGGCTAAAAAAACCAACTGATAGTTGACAAAGATCGATACTGGGATCCTTTGAATGAACAAAAGGCCTCGTTGATATCAATATTGTAAACAGTGGACAGCATTGAGCTATATAAATGGGAACTCTAGCACAGTATTGTCCCTAATAAATTAAATTTTCAAAGGAGAGTAATTTAAAGGACATTTGAATTTAATTTAGTGATTGTTAGCAAAAAAAAACTGGTCTGATGATTGTCGTCGTATTCCGATTTTTTGGTCGCGATTGGGTTTTTTTTTTCGTATAATGCAAAGGTTACATTTGTCAATATCATATCATACTTTCCTCTTTTAATCCTTACTTTATTTTCTGTTATATTTAACTACTATTTATTTTTGTCATGAGCATCTAAATTCTTCATGAGAACTTATTTTTTCTTCCTCTGAAATTTCTAAAGTTGTCATGTGAACTTCGAGTGGAGGCATATTTTTTGTATGATTCATATTTCTTGTTTCACTTTTTTTTGCTGACATCGAAATCAAACATTTTCATCGATTTCTCCATAAGAAATCTCGTTTTCAGGCTCTGGCAACGTTGTGGGTGAAACTGCCAGGAAGCTATCAAGACCTGGCCGATGCGACCAGAGACTATCCGCCTGGCGGAGCGTATATGGCCTATCTTCATTCACTTCCTCAACGAGCCACAAGCAGTCATAGCTTCTTGAGGTGGGGTTCTTCCGGTTGTTACTCACGGATTATACAGTTTTCATTTAGCCATTTTTCCGTTGGCTCGCTTAATTATGGTTAAGCGCGAATTGAAAAGTTTTTTTGAACAAACAATGTTTTAGCTTGTCGACTTGCGCATTGTCATTGAAGAACTTGGTCTTTTCGAGCTTTTCCTACATCAATCTGAGTTGACTACCACGTAATTTGTACTTCGAATGCCCTCCGTAATCCAAAGTTGGAAGCCACATGTCACGGCGCATGGTAGGAATGATAAAGCCGTTATTTCTTTCTTCTTCATGGTCTAAAGTTGTCTTTGACCCTTGATAGTTATGAAAGCCTTGGTGTGGCACTTGTCAAAGGGGGAAGTTTTGACGCTAGCGCTCGTAAATAGAAAGATGAGCCCCATGAGTTTTCATGTTGCCGCATGCGTCTTCGTGTGAGAGACATCGAAATGTGTTTATAATTACTAAATAAGCCACGATCAACGAGTATAGTCAATTGGATAATAAAGACGAGATAATATAGACATGGAACGAACGATATACCATCATATTCCACACAACCAAACAAATCAACACTTACTTGTGTACATATTCACGAAGAGGAGCTCCACAATATGGTACGGTAAACAAGAAGAACGCATAAACGCGCATGGCTAACACTTTTGTGTGATCTTAACAGCGCCAGGACATCGATCTTTCTTGAACACACCTATAAAGCTTCCTCTAGAACAGTAATGGCATAAAAGTAGATTGTAGAAAGGGGTCGTGGGGTAAAAAATCGAGCAACCTTCGCTCTGTGTTTCTAGGATGGAAATTCGAGCGATTCTCCCTGGCCGGAGAGAGGGTACCGCACTAGTCGAAGGTTGAGGAAGGAAGATACTGTGGGAAGAACAATATGACCCAGGGTGGGGTATCGACAAGCAAAACTATCCCACAAGCCACTCAAACGAAGCATGTTATGTTCCGCGGCGAAATCAACGCACAGCCAAACCAAACACGAACCACACCCACAACCACACACACACACAACACACCAAAAAAAAAAGAAAGAAATACAAAAACTATAGAAGATCTAATATAGAAAGTTAGAGTAAAAAAAAAGAAAAAAGAGAGACTGCATTGGAGAAAGGAAAGCCGATAAAAAAAGTCGCATAGAGTGCAGTAAATCAATAAGAAAAGAGGAGAAAAGATATCAATAAAATAATAAAGAGATATAAATGAAGCCGTTTTCTAGTGGTTGTTTAATCATCCAGCCATATGCTACAAACAAAAAAAACAAACAAAAACAACAAAAAAAGACACCAATACTATCCTACCATGGCTGCTAATCGTAACTACCGTCCTTTACGTAAGCCTTCTATCCTTCAAAGCATTACATGAAGACTTTAAGAGGAAACGAAAACACTCATAAATATCGACCGTTTGTCGCTGTAAAAGCTCAATCGCATTCGAATATGCCGTTAAAATGCTAGCGTCGATTGCATGGCGCAACCATAAAAGGGGTTCATCAAGCTGAATACTCTGTTCTTTGTACTTTTGAGCTTTTACTTTATAGAAGCGCCACTAAAAGAATTTCCTGAAAATTATCCACATTATCAGTTCGTATGATATGCGCCACGCATTTGGAATCTGTTTGGAATTTTCGATGCACCTTGATAGCTAGGCGTAGTAGTGTTATCCAATTGTGTCATCGATTTTGTTGACTTGGTATTTCGTGTAAATTGTATTTTTTTTTTCTAATTTTTTTGGAATGGGAAGTTTTCCGATTTAGTGAATATAGACCGTGGATCACTCTGTGATCTCTCCGCGAATTTTGTGGAAGAAACAGGACCTAAAGATCCACACATAACTTTGGAGTCCGGGGTAAGGGTCACCGTGTGTTGAGAATCATCGAAGACCCCACAGAGGTGCGTTCGTCTTGTCATAAATTTTCTGCGAGAGACCTGAGATTTAAAGCGGCTGGGTCAGAGAGTAAAAGTGTGAACTTTGACTCAGCCGAGTGTTCCTTTCCTCATTCTTATTGAATCTACGGCTTTTTATAAAACCTTTTGGAACGCAATTCATTCTGAAGAATAAACAGCAATAAGATAAGTGGCGTTCTAGACACAGAGCCCTTCATATATCTGCAAGAATTTGATCCAATGAACATTGTCCCCCTAGTCCTCTGCGCCACATCTGCGTGTTAAAATGAAGTTAACACTAGCTAATGATTTTTCCAATTTGATCGCGAGTATGTACCGGTTGTTTTGGGGAATTCGATAGTGGAACAGTTCGATTAGTGGTTTGAAGTTGAATTCATTCATGAAAATGAATGACGTTATAGATTGGTCGTTTGGTCTTAAATGGCTTTCATGACCGAGAAATGCTGGCGTTCGGCTTTCTTTATGGGAATTAATTGCACGCCTGTTCTGGAGAACAATAAATAATCCAATCTATTTCATTCTCACCTCTCGCCCATTTAATTAGAATTTTCAAGTCATGTATGAAGGGTGAAAAGAGATTTCGGGCATTAAATCGGTTAACCACTGAAAGCTGATTGGTTGACATAGGTCTGATTTTTGGTGAGTACATGTTAATAGTCTCAGGAAATACTTGGACCACGCTGCTTTCTGTCATGCTTTTCATCGATGAATCGAGGTAAGACGAGAGTAAGGGTCATAATAGCCACGAGGCAATTAGATGATGAATTATGGGATACATGACCCTGCTTGGAATAGGGCTTAAAGCTTGGAGGACAGAATGTAGGGGAACAAATTTTATTGTAGAGCATAGAGGAATGTCCAAGCTGGGGTAATGAGGGTTTTCAAAGAGGAAAGGTCCGATCTCTGCGACGAGCAGGGTGTTTTCCTTAGCAATGTAACCTGGCTGTATATCCTTTTTTCTTAAGGCACTCTAGGAACCGCAACGCTCATAGCGCAGTTGCTAGATGATAAAGAGGCGTGCTTGATATTATAACGGTATTATTTTATACTGGCATATCGTACGCTTCTGTTCTGGAAGGTGCCCAGTCATGTCTAGCAATTGAATCTTCCACTCTTTTCGTACCGTACTTGGAGTGCTCGACAGGAGGCTCTTCGCGCGGCAAGAAAGCAGCGTCAGCGGACGCGTCGCAGCGCTATTGTTGTGATTTCGCGTCATGTTAATTAGAATGTACCATTGTACGTCTACATCGCACATCACGCGCTGCGACTCGTCGCTGACTCTGACCTCTTGCCGCGCGACGGGCTTTCGGTCGGGTCGGTTAACCAGTGACGGGTGTTCTCGTCTTAAAAACCACTATATTAGTCGAAATCTCGTCCACCGCCCGCAAGCGCAAGCAGATTGACAGCTACATTAGCTTCTGTGGCACTTTACGGTTTCTTCAATTTCACCTCCTCTTACGCGCCATTTATCACTTTTAATTTCATATTTGATCTAGAACAGTTGTGAGTGGCCTCTGCCCTTAGCTTTTCTGTTTCTTGGCCTGTGTCATTATACCTATGTTATTATTTGATTTAAAAGCCAGTACTTCGATCACTACCGGTTGCTTTTTCACCAATTTTTGATGGTTAGGTCCAGGTGACCAACCCACAAAAAAATTGGCCAAAGAAATAACGAAACTCAGTCAATCAGCGCCCCCCCCCGGCGGCTGCGAACTAAGAGCGAATCCTTGTCCACCTTACGTACGTCTGCGTGAATAATTATTCTGCATAAGTAAGGTGCCATTTAGAGGTTTTTCTAAAAGCCAATTGGCACATCATGCGTAAATGATTATTATGTTTTCAATCGGCATTTTTGTGAACGCACAACTTTCCAAAAACCATACATGTTTTTGCCCAACTTAGCATCAGTTTCCCGAAATCCTGGAAAAATTCGCTGAATAAATCACTACACCCCGCCTTAGCTACGTTACCGTTACCTTCCTTTATCGTGGAGCTTTGTGCTTTTTCTTGTGTACCATTACTTGTAACATTGCATTCTTTCACCGCGATTGATGATTATCCCTCATTTCATATATTGGCCTTATGTATGAATATGTGCTTTCTCATCATAATAAATCTCCGTCTCCATGTTGTTTGGTTCATATATGCGGTATTAATGACGGCAATCACGTTTATTTGGCCTATAATTGATTTTCTGAGCTCACAATATGAATTGCCGTGGGGGGTGCAGAGCGGGGTTTGGGATTAGTGTGGGAATTTGTCAATGACTAACATTTTTCTACTTTTGAGAAGTAGGCAGCTTGTATGCAGAGAAGGATGCGAAGTGTGACGATGCGTTTGCCGTCATTACGAGACTGGTCGATGATCGTCACTTCCGGCGGAATGCCATTCATGCGGCAGACGGAATGGTCATTTACCGGATCATCTAACGCCATAATATAGACTTAGCTGTCGGTAGTTCTACAGAGGGGTATTTACTTGAGTACATCTTTGAATTAAAGAAATTATTAAGTTCATCGATTCATTGTTATATTTGTGAGGAGCTAAATATTATTTGTGCTGCAGCGGTGTACGCGGTATAAAGTGGAGATTTCTTGAACTTAATTAGGCTCTATTATAACGCAGGTTAGGTATCTTTAGGAGAGATGATTTCGTGTGTGGAATTCAAAAGAGGCTATTTATTAAGGAAGTTAGATCGAGAATTATTTATGTGTATACCCGGATGTGATTGGATGAAGCTTCAAGATCCTTTCATTTTGTATATATTCTCTCATACGGAAGTTTCTCCGGCCCTCTGCAAAATGAAGCGCGAACAACTACTAGTGGACCATGACCAAAATGAAAATTGTGAACAGAAAGGGGAACTAATTGGCTCTGGCTTTGCACTGTTTATGAACGATGAACGTGCAATGCACTCAGTACTTACTATCATAGCTCACAAAGGGGATGTATAGCGCGAGAAATGCAGTTATGGAGATGCAATATCATTCTGGTATCCCATATATAGGATTTCGACGTCTTATCCAAAAAGCCTAGAGGGCTTTCTTAGCCCCGATACTGCTTCCGTGGGCCATTATGAACGCTACTGCACCTTGCATTATTTACCATCGAGGTTGGATTCTGCCTTTTTGGATTTATTTCTCAGAAAATCTAGTGGTATTGGACCATTGAAAGCATACATGCTCTGGGCATATGATTTGTGCTGACGATTTTTTAGCAAAATGATTATAGGTCTAGGTCACTTAACGCTCATCCTTCGTGATCCGCTGCATCCTTCTAACTCGTGTCGTTTCTTCTCTGAACATCACAATGATCCTTTCAGATAGGTCGGGTTCATTCATAGGGCAGTTGATGACGGTCTTGTAGTGGAGTGACTAAACTAAAACAATATCCAAAAAATTTACTCGGATAAAAATATGTTTTATGATTTATACTCTTTTATCGGATCGAAAAGTAAGTCTCCGAAAGATAGCTGTCATAGAGAGGCATGTAGTAAGTCTCCTATAAGTTAATGACTTCCGACTGATTAGAGTGAAAGAGGTGGGAGCTGCACGAGAAGGCAAGCACACCTGAGTTAATTAATTTAGTCTTGTTTCTTTATCAGTGGATTTGAAATATGCATCAATTTATATGTGAAATGTGTGTTTAATCCCGTGGGCGTTCAACGAAGTCGGCGAGGAGGCATACGTGCGTTTGTGCAGGGATTGAGGAGCATTCAGTGGTGCTTATGTCCTTACGGGAACTGCCGATGCACTTCCATACATCGTCCATTTTCAATATGACGTATTTGAGACATTTTCCAATTCGAATGGGAAGAAATGCGCATCGAGCGGTGAAACATCTGGGAAAAGACGTTAGACATTGAAGGCACATTCCGCGATTAGATCATTTGAAGAAACCTACCCAGGAATAAAAGTACTAGCTTGTAGCCGCCGCTGAACTAGGGCTACTCAAAACGCGTGGAATGGACTCTAGGGCCATAGAACTTGCAAGCAAGGGCACTACATGCAACCACGCACGCTCGGCTTTACGGTAGAGTAAGTCAAAGGGTTATTTCTTTTCTAGTTCCCTCTATACGCTCCGTCGACACCTCTTTACGAATCCCGCTATTGCTTAGACTTTGTCAGACTCTTCTCCTGATATCGAGAAGAAGGGCCTTATTGAGAGCGCGATTTTTGGTGAAAGCCACGAGTCCTAACTATCAGATGCATGTGGTTCAGTGGTTAGGATTCCTTTTGAGAGCGTTCGCCAAGGTTAATTTTTCCTATTGTTTCCTTGACAAGGAAATCATCTCGTGCCGTTCCATACCTTTGCGTGAAATCTACCCCACTTCTGGATTGCGGAATGTGCCTTTTAGTTTGAGATCCCTGAAGCACCTTCTGTTATGTGCTGATTCGAATTGTCGCTGCAGTCGGGAACAATCACTGCTAACAGAGCCAGAAGCTGTCAGAATCAGATGTTCGGGGAACTCTAACTGAAAACATATGATCCATGCTAGTGAACTTTTTGTATTATAGATGTAGACGGGGGATGTGTCAGACCAGGAACAACAAAAAAAGCGTTAAACTTTCGGGAATCATGGCAGTCATTTAGGGCTGTCGCAGAAAACTCGTGCTAATTTACCCACTCACCCTGCTCCCTCCGTCCTTACTCTATGCTTGTTTTGGAAAAATTTCAGGGCTGGGTTTGAGCGCGTCAACTAGTGGCAGTAATGGCTGATTCAACGACATTGTCGACACCAGTGACCATTGGAGATTGTCCTATGAAGGACTCCCTCCCAGCGAAGTTGTGAAAATTTCGAAATTTTTCTTTACCAATGGTCGACCCTGCCAGTAAAGTGCTCACCCGCCCACCAAGCGAGATGAACACTGCGGAAAGTCAAACGTTATTTTACTAGAAAAAAGTGTTTCACAAATTATTGCCTTCTGCTTTCCAAATCAAATAATGCTACCTACAAATATGCTTTTCAAAAATGACAATTTCAGCCGGTCGCCTCTATGAGACGGCTGAACTGTCGGAGACCGCGTTGTCGCATCGAGTTCAACGAACCGTTCAACCATCAAAATGTTCCCATTGTGACACTCTATCCATTCTCTACACAGTGCAATGTACCGATTGTGGCGCTCAATGGCATAAAACGTGTTTCCCAAAGGTACTTTTTATTAATTATCAATTATTCATTTTTAATTTATTTTCTCTCCAGCTCATTAACTTATTGAGTATTATTTATTGGTTATCATTAGTTTCGAATGTAAAACACTAACGCCACGAAATTGCAAAAGAAGTATGTTAAGTAATCGAGTTAGGCTTTTTTATTTTTATCCTTTTATATCCGATGCGATGTTTTCTTGAAATGATGTTTTCTCAAAATATTGAAACGGGCCCTTGGCTCAATAGTTAGCACAAGTATCAGGAAAGAATGAGGTGCGAGTTCGATTCCGCCTGGCGAAAAGTTTTCTATCCATATCCTGATATCCCTTCTGATAAAAATTTTACTTCTGTGAGGGAGTAAAGAGGTACCGAGCAGTAAATGCTCGCCTAAAAGCTGAGCCTTACTCAAGTGCACTACAGTACTACTCTCGTGGTAAAGTGGTACTGTAAGGTCAGCGAACCTAATTATTTCTCAAAAATTTACCTTCCCAGTTATCAAGGGTCTCCCTTCTAATAGTTCTGGACTGCGTCCCTATCTTTACTCCTGAGGAGTCAGCTTGTGAAACCCTAAGAAAGGGTTTTTACAGTCTTTCAAGCATTTATTCAATATGTAGACGATAGCAGCCAGTCACAACTAGCCGACGATACTAACCGAGGTGGCCAACAAGTTCCTTTGCCTTTGGATGGTAGAGAAATCCATGGGAGATAAAACGAATGAGTAATCTGTGAGTAAGCCGTTTAGTGACAGAGGGAAACGATGAGAAAAGATTAGTTATGATTTAATTCCGTATGGTCCGAATTTTTGAGTCAATATTGGCTGTGAGAGCAATCTTCCACGCATCGTGGTGGCTGTACTCCCCCCCCACGTCCATCCCCCCAACAAACGTTACGAACGTCCAGTTTAGCCCCCTCATTGTTTCTTACAATATTTATGCCTGTTTTTGACATGCCACCATAGATTCTTTGGCTGTGACAGTACAGGGAAATCATTGAAAAATCTAGTGCCTCTGAAATGCAAGAACAATTTTGTTCACGTAACATCTGTTTCCCGAGTTTTGGCTCAAGATCCGGGCCACACGAGCCCAGATTCTCTTTCGCGATCGCTGCCCTCCTCTGTTTTTCGCTTATTTGCCCTGTCATAAGACTCAGCAGTCGAATTTTGGCTAGCAGTAACTTCTATGATTCTTATAATTTCTTCACTTCTCCGGAATGATAAATGAATTTTCACTAATTTAGGGGCAAGTCAAAAATCTGTGTTCTATTTCCCTAAAAGGCCCACTTTGTGCGCTTGTGCGTAAAGATCTCAAAGGTACAAGTATGCACAGTGGAAAGCGGTTATTGAAGCAGTCGCGATCACGTCGATTGGTCTTCCTTAATCATTCAGTAGGAGTGCACATTCCTTTGAAAAAGTGCCTCATGCCTCGTTTTTTTAGAAACAAAAAACCCTGAAGGAAAACTCATAGGATCTTCTGAAAAGAAATCTTTTAGCAAAATTACATTTTGAGAAAAGGATAACTCACTGGATTTGGTACACTTTTGAGTGATGTGAAAGCTTTGGGCAGCGGCAAAATGTACTGCCTTTAGTCAATTGCTGGAAGGTGAGGGTAACCTCAATAAGCTGGAATAAGTTCTCAGGGGCATAAAAAGAATGGAGTAGGCTGGATTGTGAGAGAATACTTATCAGAAGGGAAAGAGGTTGCATAGTGGCAAGTGGAGCCACATTCCGCACGTCCAGTTCTGGGATCAAATGCCGGATCGAATCTCACTCAGACCAACCGAAATATGCGCGTTACTTGAGTCAGCTGTCGTGACTTTCTGAGGAGGATAATAAACACTGACGGTACACCCGCTGGCCTCTGCAAGGCATTTTAGGAGCGATCTCGCATTCAAACGCCGCTATGATTTTTGAATGGAGTAGGATGCATGGCGCATTCCAAAATGGACCAGCGATCAAAGCTTCATCTTTAGCTTCGCATACTTAAAGAACTGCCTAATGCGAGCTCTGTTCGCAACTAACACTCATGATCGAGGAATTGAACCCTGCCTAGACCGACAAAATCTTTCATCCCATCTCATCCAAATCCCTTGTTGGTACCAGGGTCATCTAATAATCAAAAAGGGTTTCGGCTGGCGCTCCAAGAGCTAAACATTCATTTCAGTCCCGCTGCGATTGCGAATGGGACTACGTGGATTTCAGGGGGCTGTGAACACCAAGATCTGATTTTTACCCTTTTTTGTTACTGTGTGCGACGTTCTGAACAGTCATTTTACTACAACTTCTATCGTATAATGCATAATACATGAGTAACAATACGGCTATGGCAGTATCAGTGCCTAAATACAAACGAATTTGTTCTGCCAGTAATCAGCGAGCTGGAATCGCTCGACACGTCAATGGCGATTTCTCAACTATGTGACCAACCATAAAATTCAAAACGAGGATCCGCTCAAATTGCTGCGCAGTTCTTACTTGTTACCACCTACAGTAGCTTGCGTAATGTACACGCATAGTTAATCCTTCTTCGTCCCCATGCAGGGTCAACCGTTACGTTGGACCGATATTGGAGCGACGTTGGACCGATGTTGACCGCTCTCCGCGCCGGCATTCACTCTCGCCACCCGCGAGCCGTCTGTGTCTCCGTGCGTACGTTCACTCTCGGCGTCGTCGCGTTGGACTTTGTCCAACGGACGGTTGACCCTGCTCCCATGGCTTTTGGAGTGGATTCGTGGCCCCTACCTGCCTCCTTGTTTGTTGTGTACTCTTCAATAGTGTAGTACTTCCCTTAACTCCGCTATAAATCTATCCTAAAACTTCACCATCCAAAGTAATCTGTCCCGAAACGACCTCTAAATCGAATCCTGAATTTCACGTCTAATAACATTCTAATTACAGGATGATACTCAAGGCAAATGTCCACGATACCCAAGCAGCTCTGAATCTTTCAGTATCTCAAGAATTCTCGACATCAGAAAGGTGGGGAACTGTTTTTAACGCGATAAATAAAATACTTCAAAATAGCTAGTCGGAAGGTTAGTGCGTAAAAAACCGCTCAAAAATACGCAAGATTGTTCAGCTATTATATAATTCTATAGCGATTGTATTCAAGAGAAGTGAGAGTTAGAGTAAGGTTTCCTACCGATTGTTCAGTGACCTTGATCAACTAACTCTATGATTAGATCGCTGACTTTTCAGACCACCCAAACTTGTGGACAATCAGCACGGCCATGTGATCGGCGTATGAGCATCTTCGGTGTGTCGTTACAAGGCCATTTGGAAATGCAACAGCGAAGCATCCCGTTGATTATCGAATCGACGATTCACGAACTTCAGAAGCGAGGAATGCGTGTAAAAGTAAGTGAATACTATTATATACCCAAAAATGTACTGCACATTTTTGATGTTTTCATGGTTCCTGAACTTATACTCATCATTCCTTTTTATCCGTCAACGTATGGCTGAGGAGTGGAAAAAAGACTTTTAATTCGTTTGCTGTCAATTTTGACGTTCCTCTTTCTAAAAACGATCACACACTCATTAAATATTAAGACAGAGTTATATGACGAGTGTGTTTAACCCATTCGTGACAATGTCAGCCACCGGTGGCTGACAAAGCTCTCACTCGGGACAATGGTATTACTGTGGCTGCAGGGCTTGAAATGGAATTTGGAAAGTTTTCTTCCATGGAAAGAATCTTCATACCCTCGCTCATCTACGCCAGCCCTGGGCAGAGGAAATCTCCCTTCACTCGGATTTTATTGAAGAAAAATCTCCTGACGCTGCTGCTATTGCGCAATCCTGCGCGGTCGCGAATGGGTTAAAAAGCTAGACTGTTTCACCCATCCCTTAGAAATGTTGATGTGGGTCACCTTACCCCGCTTGCTATGTATGCTGTAGTAGGCTTTGGGTTGATAATGTTGGCCGAGGAGAGTTTTGTCGTTTTGGCCCACCTTACTGACAGAAAGTACCACTGTGTATGTAGGTACAACGAACAATTCCCGACCCAGGTAATTATAATGTATAAACGAAATAGAATTAAAGTAATTGAGATAGGCACAAAATCCTCACCCGTACTCCTCTATGGTGCTTCCTCACGGGCTCGCCATTGCTTGACTTACTAACGGCAAATAATTCCCTGCTAGCAATAATGACATTGAAGCTTACAGTTACATTTTCCACTTAATAAACCAGCTAATTTCATTTTACATTTTTTCGGGAACGATGTCCCCTTCTTTTTTTGAACTCTTTTCGGAACAGTTTTTGAATGAATTTTCATTTTTTGTTTGGTTTGTTCAAGTTTCGCCCATAACTAAGCATTCTTGTGAAAGATCTTTAAATCAGTTTCCTTAGCACTTATTAGCTACGCTTTTCAGTCATTATGTGGTAAATACATAGTCGAATTTTTCTTTGAGAGAAAATTATTTTTCTTCTGAAAATTAGCCAATCATCATTACTGTATTTGCTTTGATTTAGTGTTAAGCTTGGTCTATTGCCGTTGAAAGACGTATTAAGATGGTGCTGTGATAGTGTTATCGGTAGCATAGAATTTAATAGTAATTTAAAGCATTTCCGTCATCCTTAACTTTCTCTACCTTTTTTGTTCTTCCACCAATAACATAAATGCACTCTCTGTTATTGATGAGAAATCATCTTTACGAAAACGTGAAAAGCAGTGACCAATTGATGACGCGCTGAATTGTCGCGTGCGAGCAGTAAACTGAATTAACTATTGACGTCATCGCGTTCAATTTTCGCGCATGAAAAAACAGTGTTATTCCGGCGTTAGCTCATCTTTTCTCTGAAAAAAAACGAACTAGGTTTTCTGATACGGGAGCTCTCAATGGATTTCTTGGGTTTTCCATAAGTTCTCAGTCAATTTCATTTGGTGTAGTGGCAAGTGGCACGCTTACCACGCGAGCGGTCCGGGGATCAAATCCTGGGTCGTGAGTCGCCCGGGCCAACCAAGCCTTCCATCCCTCCGGGGTCGGTTAATTGGTACCAGACTTGTCTGGGAGGATAAAAACACTGACTTGTACATCGGCTGGCCCCGCAAGTCATTGTATAGGCCACATCGCATTCAAACGCCACTACGAATGTACAAATGGAAGTAGAATGCGTGCCGCATCCCAAAAAGGGATTGATCAACGGCAAATGCTTTATCCTTTATCCTTTAATCGTTTTACTAAACGCATGATCAACTTTCTGTGCCAATCCTTGACTGATCCATCCAAATATTGAAGCTCTCTTAATTATGGGATGCCAACAAAGCTATACTGGGTCAACTTCACTTATTTGATACATTTGTTGCCGGGAATCGAACCTGAACCGAGTTTTCTGTGTAATATAGTTTCTACTAGGCCTTAAAATTTCTGTGTTGCCTTTCTTTAGCTTCCATGAGCGCTTCCTATGGGTTTTCAGCCACATCAAAGAGAATTTCTGCGCGTATGAGCTGAAAAAGAATCCTTTGTCAGCTAGTGAGCATGGGCTAAAATCCAGTTCATTAAATGTGTTTCGCCTTCAGAATTGCCCTTTTGAGATCTATTTGGCTGTTTTTTCCTAGCATTAGCATCCCTCCCACCCACAAAGTCCATCAAGATTCAAGTTCTTATAGTAATTAACAGAAATTTTTCTCTAGACGATTATATTTAACAGTTAAATGACTAATTTCCCCTAATTTATTTTTTTCAGTTTTTACCGCGTGCTCCCGATTTTCTAATGTAATTCATCCCTAATATGAAGTGCTGCCGAATTGCACTGGAATTGAGTCCTACCCCATTTCAGGGCATTTATCGAACTTGCGGTGTGAAGTCGAAAATAGAGGAGATTTGTGAAGCATTTGAACGATGTGCGGGTGATTCGACCATCGATCTTGAACATGTTCATCCGATGAATCTTGCCTCGGTCGTGAAGCTCTACTTGCGAAAGCTTCCCGAACCTTTGATGACCTATGAGATGTACAATGAGTGGATACGGTTTGGCGTTGTGAGTTTTTGTTTGTCAATATCTGTTCGGATTTTTTTCTATGCGATTTCCTGCCATTTTTACCCTTGTTCTGAAATTTTCGCCTTTTTTTTTATCAAAAACATCAACTTTTCCGATTTCGATCGATGCTCATTAGATCATTCCTTCTATTGTGTTCACTACACTAGCCTTCCAAAGTGGTGCAAGTTTCATTGGGCACTTTCTTAAATGCTTATTAACTAATCTTGTCACTTATCTCCAAAGCTCTGCTCACCGTTCCTCCTCTAATATCCACTCCATATTCTCATCACTGCGTTCTGAACGAAGGTAGAGTATTGACAAGTGGGCCCACTTACCACATAAAGGGTCAGGGGTTCGATTCGAGTCTTGTCCAAATCGACTAATACTTCCTCACTCCAAGATCTGGTAATGGTATCCAGGATGGTAAACAGAAGGCATTCACATTGGCTTGCCAGCAGCTCATTGCATGGGTCGATTCGCATTTCAAACGCACTACCGCTCTAAAGAGGAGTAGGATGCGTGGCGCATCTTAAAAAGGAGTGATTGCGGTCGAGTCCCTCATCCTCTTACTTACTTCCTACTTCTCGCCCGTTCCATTCGTACTACACGCAGGTTGGCAATACATTCAAGCTCGGCTCTGCTTCGAGGATCGTCCACTCGCACCAGTTGGACTATATAACTTTACTGCAGAGGGTGAGCTCACTGCGGGGGGGGGGGGGGGGTATGCTTTTCAGCCGGGCCGGGCTTGAATTCCCTAAGGTACCGTCAGTCACTCTTCTGGTCCAGCGATCATCGATCGCCCCTCAACCATTCACACTTTTGTTCTTCGCTCTCTGCATCTTTATAACCGCCATGCTTTTTGGGTAAGGTTAGTTTCCTGGGTCTTGAAATTAGGCTTTCCCAAATTTGTAGTCAAAAGTCAATACAAAATTTTCGAAAATAGCCTGAACAGTTTGACAAATTCGCCAAAATAATGCCATAAATCTTTACAGAAGTGTAACGACGAGCCAGAAGACGAACACTTGGAAGAATTGAAGCGCCTTACGCGTCGACTTCCGTCTTGCAATTATGAGACCTTGAAACATCTGATGCTTCATCTGAATCGTGTCACTTGGTATGTGGATTTTCCGCTCTCCTACTAATTACTGATTGTCCGGATGTTTTTTGATTTCCTATACGTGGACTGAGCAATGATTCGATCAGAGGTCAAAAGCGCTTGACGGAGATATAAGTAGATTGCGTTGACGGAAACGATTAGCACTGCGAAGTCCATATGTGCGCCAACTGGCTCACGTGTCCCGAACTGAAAGATAAGGGATTGTTCCATGCAGAGTGTCCGTTGCCTCCGTGTACCGGTTTTTCAAGAAATCAAACTACTGTTTTGTGAAGCCTGAAGCTGAGGAACTGATTCATGAATAGCAAGGGTACCACCATTTTCTTCGAAATAATGAACATTTATAACTCCGCAGGGAAATTCCACTAACATTTCTCAACGCGACAGTCAACCTCGCTCTGAAGATTCGTGAACCTACCGGGCCATTCCACCCTTTCGTTCCCAGGACTGGTTTGGCCTCCATGATAAAAAAGTTATGTGGGCAAGGGATGAATTGAAATGCTTCTGCGTGTGAGCAGAATTGCACCGCACATCCTAGACGTGATGAAATTCTGAAGATTGATCCGCAGCTTCTGCATCACTATTCCTTAGTTGACACCCAGAACACTGTAAATTCTATTCTCCTGAATTTTCGAGTCATTTTTTCGGTATACAAATGGTGGTGGATTGACAAATCGTGCCGCTACTACCGACTGTGGTTCAGTTCCTGGTTCAGTATCGCTCGGCTTAACTCAGCCTTCTTTCCTTTTGTTGGTTTACTGGTGCCGTACTTATTTTGGATAGCAGAAACACCTACCTGTACCTCAACAGGGCCCGCAAGTCATTTTGTAGGCCAAGTCGCATTCAAAGCACGTTGCGAGTGTGAATGCAAATAGGGTGCATGGCGCATCCTAACAGAGAATTGATCAAAATCATCCACCTGTGCCTTCAAACCTAGCACTTCATATGAATATTCGGCAGTGTTTCTTTGGTCTCAGCCGTTACTTGTTGATGAGTTGTTCGTAGTAATTTCCGTCAGAGGATGATTTAGTAAAGCTTTCTAGAATGCTCTAGGAGAGTATAGATTAGAATTCTCTGGGAAAAAAGTGAGCGATAAAAGGTTCCCTCGCACGCCTAAACGGGTCGTCCATGGCTACTAATGAGGGATTTTTTCCAGGTTCCAAGAATCGAACCTGATGGGACCATCCAACCTGTCAACGGTCGTGGCACCGTCCCTCATATGGCAACCATCCACGTCAGCTGATCATACGGCAGCCATTATTGACGCTCAACATGCTAATCGAACAGTTCAATGTTTCATCACGCATGCTTTCGTGAGTTTCGCTCATCTTTAATTACAGTGCTTACCCCTATATAAGTATTGTCACTTCCCAATTCGTAATATTATAGTATTCGGTCTGTGTTAGACGAGAAGCGCTATGATCTTGCATTATTTGCGTATGCTTATCCTATAACTCTGAACGGCAGGGTTGTTGCAGTGGCAAATAGAGCCGTGCACCACTCGCATGGTCGGAATTCAGTCACTGGATCGACTCCCGCCCGACCTCCTCAGGGTTTTCATCCCGCTGCATCCTTCAAAGCAACAACCTCGGATAAGGTCGTGTGGAACAATCTTTTCTGTGGATAGGATAGTGTTGCTTACGAATTTTACAAAAGTGCCGCTGCGCGACTTCAAGACCGCGCGCGAATAATGGTCCACAACCTTACACTGAGAAGAACTTTGAGTAAGTGACAGCAACTTGCTGAGATTCTCGCACTCTTCAACTCGTAGTTGATCAACTATGGCTGCATCACGTGAGTCCTTCTTTCGCTGCTTTCTTTCATTTTCGCTCAACTCGGCATCCACATTAGTATTGACCACTGCTTCCCAGACGATTAGGTCCAGGGTTGCTTGCTTCAATTGACGTCGTATTCGTCGGTGAGGATAAGCACACTTCTGTGAATAGGCCACCCCTCAACCCTCCCCTAACTCGTGTCAAGGTATACAAAGCGTGCAAGTGCCATTCTGTCACAGTGGTGCCGCCCATAGCTACAGTTTAGCGTATCTCAGAATAAACCAACCCTGAATGCTCAATGCTTTTTTGCTTTTATGGAGCTGCATTAAAAGAATGTGGAGTTCCACTCCATAGAATTTTCCCCATCATCTAATTGAGTGAAGCCTTCATCTAAAGATTCTTATCCGAATGATATCGCTAATGAGCACAGTGATGCTTACATGAGCATTAAGTTTTGTGTGAACAGAAAAAATTGATCCTTCTCTGCACTTGTCTCTATTTTGATGGCCAATTTTGTAAGCCACTTACCTCAATCCATCATTTCGGTATTCATCATCTCTTTTTCAGACAATCTTCGGGGTAGATCGAACCAAGGATTGGGATGACTTCTTCTCGAAGTATGCTTTGGAAGAGCCACCAAAGGTAAACTACAGCTATCAGTTTAGGTTGAAGATTTCCTTGATTAAGGTCGCGTTCATTGTTTTACTCAGAAAACTATTTGAACTGTCAAACTGTCATTAGTTTTATGGTTATTAGGTTCTCACAGCAACACAATTTCATTGAACATTCAGGAGGAAGATGCCGGTAACGTTTCGGATGATGAGGATATCGTCGACGACGACGTTATAGATTTAGAAGATGATGAACAACTGTTCGTTCCTCAACCTCCTACACCTGACCTTCTGAAGAGTACCAGGCGAGAACGAGGTGAGAAGACTGGCTTAGCTGGTTTTGAAAATTATCCTGAAATTCATTAGATTTTCTCCTATAAGGATAAGCTCCTCAGAGAGAGGGAGAGAGTGTGTGTTTATGTGTGTTATCAGTGCCGCATGTGCTAGTTTAACTTGATATTTTTGTTTTTATTGTTCTGTTGTTTACTGTTTATTTTTTGTTTTCGTATTTCTCTGCTTCTTTTATAATGTTTGAAATTGAAAGCCGTTTTCTGGCGCATTTTCAGAATAAAAGACGTTTAGAAAAGCACAGCCTGCATAGCTGAAAACGAGCTGTCTAAGGAGTTTTTCAGGAATTATCTTGAAATTTACAAAAAAGAAAATGTTGCAGCAAGTCCGAAGTGATTTCATTCTCGGGAGCTCTTGCTTATTTGGTACCTTTCACTGCATCTGACAATTGCTTTTATATTTTAATTAATTAATTTATTTATTTGTTTATTTACCATTCTGGCTTTCGAATGCAGTCACAAATTGTTGACTTACCATGGTTTATAACTAACATTCTTTTTTCAGCCGATGAACGCTCAAGCAGCGGTCAAGGTTCTCCAGAAGATCAAAAGCGACGATTCGAGAAAGATGATCGACGAGAGAAACGGCGCAGTTACACGACAAGCATACTGATATCGCCAAACACAGAAAGACCAACTCCTGTCACTAGGCAAAAGTAAGACTGGTTACTGTAATTTGTTGATGACTTTAATCTGAGTATTATCTAATTTTATTCAAGACTGGTTACTGTAACTTGTCTAGGACTCTCTAATCTGAGTATTATCTAATTTTATTATGTATCGCTTAATCTATCATTCGATTTTATTACCATTACTGAAGCTGCTTTTTGCAGATCACTCGGAGAAAAAACTGCCTTGAATCGTTGTGCCGCTGACGTCACCGTCGATGTATCTAAGGTGGGTCTTTTCAACAGAAAGCTATACAATTGTCCTTGATGGATGCCTGGGGTATAAATATGGCTGGCAATTGAGTTCAAAATGTATTAAATTAAATGTTTTTAATTCAGGGTCAAATTTTCGTCGATAGGAATAGAGATGGCAAATTAATTCAACGACGTCAGTCACACAAAGGTCAGTACTAATTTATTCACTACGGCGGTAGCGGTGAAAAACGTGCGGAAACATGGTTTCGCTTGTGAACGACCGCCTTTGAATTGCGAATTTACCCGACAAGGGGTTTCCCCCGGGCTTTGGAGTCCGAAGAAGGAATACTAGTTAAAGGCGAGGCGGGATCCTCCTAAGGGTGCGCGTTCACAAGCGAAAGTATACCGCCCAGTGGCTTGACATTGATACTCGTGCCGCGGTAGGCCCACTTTGTAGTCGTCTGACTCTGGCCTTTCAGCAGAGCGAGAGAGAGAGCGTTAGCGTTGAAGAGGGTAGCAGCGATGACAGTCGCATCAATGCGGAAATTACCGGGCAGAGAGGCGCTCCCATTTTTCGGGTTCTGGGTCGTTTCTCATGGTCCTTCTTTATCCCTGCCCACCGAACTATCGCTAGGCAGACTTTCTAAGTAAACCTCGCCTTCAAAGACCATCTTGGATCGACTTGCTTTTTTGAATTTCACTCTGGAGAGATAGCTTCGGGAGGGAAACCTGTGAGGAAATCGAGGCCTCTCACAATCTCTTAGGAAGAAAATAGGCGTCAGTTTCTTTTCTAAAAAGTGTCTGCGAGCGCAAAAAAAAAACATAACTTTTTAATGACGTCATTGGTGAGCTAGACTCCTCGCTGGGATGGTTGAAGCATCCTCTGAACGGCATTTCGTCAATGACTTGAATGCCGTCGTCAAAACTGAAGCGGTCTCCAGTCATCGTGATCACTTCATTAAATAGTAGTGTTTCAGAGTATTCTTCTCGGGACCTCGATTCACCGTCAAACTACGATAAAGAATGTGCAAAGGATTCAGCGCACATCATCAGTCTACACAACGTCGGCGATTTGTTTCCAGGAACCGAACAAGACGTCTCTTATGTGTAGCATAATTTATACGTAGTTTACCGATGTAGTGACAAAGTTAAGCATCATATAGATGAATCATCAAAAAAGGAAAGGAATTCGATCTAATTATAAGTTATCGCTTATTTAAATGTATTACTTTACATCATATCCGTGTATATGTGTGAATTTGAGGGAACTATTCGGCCAAAATCGTTGCCAGCCAGATAAATGACATAAATTCGCCCACGTGTAGCAATTGTAGCATGTTTCTACTAAATATAGTTTATTGTACAAATTTTTCGTATGTCACAGAGAAGATTAGAGAATAATCGATTATTGATTGATATGAAATAATTCTGTTTCGCCAAAGTCACCGTACACCGATGCGTGCGTGTATGCGTGTGCGCTGGTTATAAATGCATCTTTTCTGAAAGCACAGATTTTCTCCGATCACAATGATGAATTGTCCCAATTCTGAACTCATCGCGCCTTTTATTATCACAATCGTCCTTTTATTATCACAATAGGGTTTCATTGGGTGTACATAGGATTTTCTTATCATTTTTTCTTCTCACATCGTTTGAATTCTCTTTTTGCTTGATTGATTTTGTTCTTGATTTGTGTTGTTCTTTATGATTATGTTTATGAGCATGAACATTGCAATTTCTAGATGATTTTTTTATTGCAAGAGACATTAGTCATTCCCAAAATTGAAGGAAAAAAGACGGTTCTCAAATAAGGTAGTTTTAATCAGCTTAACGAAACATATAGCTTTGAGGCTACTGCGGATAAGAGCAGTTCTGATGAGAACCCTCAGAAGGGCATTATTCCGAGCTGTTTTCTTTCGAAAGAGAAAAATACAAAAAATCTTTGTGTAAAATCCTTGCGTACTACATATACTGGAAGTCAAACTCACAGTGGACCTATCTTTTCAAAGGTAGAAC